AATTCACCCCACCTTCCATCTCGCTTGAGGGAAGACAGGTTGGTGGAACTGAGTCCCAGGACTTTAGACTGGCAAGCAATGACTGGCTTAAATGTGTTACGTAGCCAGCTGTCTTCATTTGCTTTCTATTGCCATGATAAAGCACTGACCAAAAAACAGCTTTAAGAGGAAAGGATTTGCTTTACTTTTGTCTCACATCTCGCGGTCCATCATCGAGGATAGCCAAGGCAGAAACCTAAGGCAGAAACTGAAGCAGAGGCATATAGGAGTGTGCTTACTGGCTTGATCCTCATGGCTCTCTCAGACTGCTTTCACAACCCTCTACCCAGGGATGGGGCTGCCCACATTAATCAGCAAAATACCCCACAGGACAGTCTGATGAAGGTGTTTTCTCAGTTGAGATTCCCTCTTCCCAGACGACTCTAGCTTATGTTGGGTTGACAAAAAACTAGCCATCACAGCAGGTTACCCTAAGCAAGATCAAATAACTCATCTCTAAGGAGCTCTGTGGGAGTCCAGCTCTGTCTTTGGGAAGCTAGCCTACAGGATATCTGTGGCATGCAAAAATGAGCAAGGGTATGGCACAATAGCTGTCTTTACACCACCAACAGGTGTTTTAAGTTCTATTGTTGCTTGGGTGCAAGAAGCTTGCTTACTATTCTCTTACAATGCTCTGAGGCAATTTCAAGACTCCAGTGAGAAATAGCTGCAATGTTTCCAATCTCCCCGTGATGGGTGATTGCAATTAAACCAAAATTCCAAAGCTGCAGCACACCACTGAACTCAATGGAGTATTAACTTGTACAGTGCCCAGTAGAAGCCAGTGATGACGTATGACCAGATAGATGTCCATAGGATCTTCCAGATGCCCTGCCATTGATTCATATATCAACTTTTCCTGTAGCCTTTTAGTAGAAGAATTTCAAGAGAGATAAATTACCCGGGAGTCCATTAGAAACTGAATTGACTTAAAGACAGTAAATAATTAGTATAATTCCTCCAAATACTAATATGCAAAGTTAAGTTTCATTCAAACTTTATTTGGTGTTCTCTTTCAACATACTGTGTCATATTCTGGAGGACTGATTCATATTACAAGTCTGTGTCTTGATGTGCTCCATGACAGCCATGACCTTCCACAGTAAAGCTCAGCATGTTGCAATTACGACAGAGCCTAAATAATGATTTTAGTCTCTTTTATACTTTGGTTTCCTGTGTATAAAATAATGGATGTTAGTAATCATTAGGTAAGTGAGACAGTGCTTATAAAGCATATAGCACTTTGTTCCCGATTAGTACATCAGGATCATTTTCATGACACAGAAAACTGAGGAAAAAGGAAAAAGGGGGAAACCCCTTCTCGGTGCTATTATTTGGATAATTTCCTGCACAGTTGCTTTGTTATAGTAACAAGAACGTTCTTTAAAAGCATTTTCATACAGTTTTTCAATGAACCAAGAAGATTTATATTGTTAATTTACATACACCGTGCCTCAAATGTGTGAAGAGTGATGCCAACACATCTGGAGAAATCTTTCAAGCCTCTACCCCTACATGAGGAGCTAGAGGCAATTAACAGATGCTGAAATAGAAAGAAATCATTCTTCTCTAGGGATGAGCCACCTTATAGGTTATCCAATCCAAAGTGATCACACCTAAACACATATACATATAAGCAACACTAAATAGACTCAGCAAGCCCTATTTATATATATATTTGTATGTTACATATGCATTATATATTTATATATAGTAATTAAAGATGAGTCAATAATCTGAGAGGGAATGGGGGTACAGGAGAAACTGGAGGGAAAAGAAGGAGGGGTGAAGATGATGTAAATAATAGTACTCATGTATGGATTTCTAAAAAGAAATAAAAATTTTAAGTAAAACCCAAAACAAAAACAAAACCTAGGGCAAAAGCGAGAACTTCGCCACTCATCTCAGGCCTTTTGTCATTGTTCCTAATGCATGCAAATGACGATCTGTTTTACTGAGAATCTGATTGCCTCATCTATTTGAAAAGTCAGCTTGTCCCTTTTATTGCTGTAGAATAAAATGGAACATGCATGTGACATTGCTAGCCAGTTCACAATTTCTGAGACCAGTGTTTCTCTGCAAGGCTTCCTTAAACTCTTAGTGAGAGGCACAGCCCCACTTTTCCTCTGCACTCATTCTGCACTTCTCGGGCATGTTTCTTCTCCTTTCCTCATGCGGGGAGAACAGCAGCTCCAAAGCAGTTCATGGAGCTCACACCCACATCACTGTCCATCTTCAGTTTCTGTGATTCAGACGAGGAAACCGATGGACTTAAAAGCACATATGTTGACAGGCTGGGTCTAGATGGGAATAAAGCAGCTGGTAACTCGTGCTTTGCCACTGTCCTCCTCCTCCCAACATTCCACATTCAGTCTTTTGGGAGGGACTAGACAGGCTATCTATTCCTTCCTCTGACTCCACGAAAACCTGGTCTCCAGCAAGGTTTACCTCCCCTACGTTCCCAGAGTCTCAACACAACAGATCACACCAACATGTACAATCATCCCTGTCCCACAAATTGTCCTTGATCCTGATCTATTTCTCTGCTTCATGTGTTAAGTGACTCTTTTTAAGAAGAGTTTTTAAATTAAGAGACATTTATAAGTCTTTCTTAACTTCTTGCACTGAAAGATGCAGCACACGGTCAGTGGTTTCCCAGCAAATGGGCATTTGCTATATTAAAAGCCTTTAAAGGTGTCAATGACGTACAGGCTACATGGATGACAGTAAATGGCGAAAGTCAACTCTCTTACACTCCTCTAACCTAGCATATACTTATCTATTTTTAACTGGTAAAATCCAGTGAGTACATAGATAACACAAATTGGACTTTTTTTAATTTTCATTTTTATTTCTTTTGGGAGGGGTTACAAGAGTGAGGGGGCAGACATGCAAGGACAGAGAAGAGAGTGTGATCTGGTTCATATGAAATTCCCCCAAAAAATCAATAAAAATATTATGTTGAAAAAGTTGTAAGTACTTGTGGTATACATACACACACACACACACACACACACACACACACACACACACTAAAATAGCTAAGTGAAGCTAAATCAATATGGATTAATACACATATGAAATTTTGTGGGAATATTTGAAAACTAAGTGATTTTAATTATGTTATATAGTAACTGTAGTCACCATAATGCACAATAGATGGAATGAACATATTTTTTTACTTTTTTATAAAGCAGAAATTTGTCTTTTGACCTATATTTCCCCAACTAGCTCCTTCCACCCCAGCCTTTGGTAATACCTATTTTACTCCCTGGCTTCTTTGTATTCACTTTGAATTTATTGTTACTATTGTCACTGTGTTTATGGGTGTGTGTGATGTGGCCAGGTGTGGAGGTCAGAGGTCTTTGTAGAGTCAGTTTTCTCAATTCACCTATATGTGGGTTCCAGGGGTCTAAATCAGACCCTAAAGTTTGGATTGTTGGTCAGCAAGAGTCTTTACTCATTGAACCATCTTTCTGGTCCTTAGCTTTTAAAAGTCTGCTAAACTGAAATGTTTAGAGTCCACATATGAATGAAGTTATGCAATATTTAACTTTCTGTGTCTGATGTATTTTTCTGGACATAATTTCCTCTTGCTTTGTTGATATTGTCATAAATGACTTACTTCTGCATACAGGTCAACTAATATTCCATTGCATATAGATGTACCTTTTTTGATATTTCTTCATCTGCTGATGGTCACTTAAGCTGATCCTGAGATTTTTCCTACTGAGAATAATGTGCAATAAACACAAGACTGCACATATCTCTTTGATGTACTGATAATGAATCCCTGGAATATCATTTGGATGTATATATAGTAGTGAGATTTCTAGATCACGTGCTATATCTGTCTTTGATTTCTGAATAACCTCTTTGTTGCCTTCTTTAGTGACTGTACTAATTTAATTTCCAACCAACAGTGGGTAAGAGGTCCCTTTCCCATCTCATATCTTCACCAGTATAGCAAGGACAATGACACTGTAGTAACATGCAATGTGATATCTCATATGGTTTTAATGTACATTTCTTCCATGCTTATTGAGGTTATCTCCTGTGTCTTCCTATCGGGAGTGGAAAACGCATGGAAGAAAATATATATAAAGCCATTGTGTCATCTAATACAAATTATAAGGTACTCATATCCAGTAATTTGCTAGACAAGTACAGTAGTATAGACCATTTGGTTATTTGTGTAGACCACTCACAAAAACACACATGTAGTAGATTCTTGTGTTGGCTAATTTTATGTCAATTTGGCACAGGCTAGAGTCATCTGAAGGGTGAGAACCCAAACTGAGAAAGTGTCTCCATATGATTAGGCTGTAGGCAAGCCTGTAGAGCATTTTCTTAATGACTGATGTGGGAGAACTCATCCCATTGTGGGTAGTGTCAGCCCTTTTGCTGGAGGCCCTAGAGTCTGAAAGAAAGCAGGCTAAGAAAGCAGTGATGAGCAAGACAGTTAGCAACATTTCTTACTGGCCTCTGCATCAGCCTCTGCCTCCAGGTTATGGCACTGATTGAGTTCTGTCCTCACTTCCTTCAATGATGGACTACAATGCAGAAGTGTAAGTCAAATAAACCCTCTGCTCCCCAACTTCCTTTTGGGTCATGGTGTTTCATCCCAGCAATAGAAACCATAAGACCATTCTAGAAGGCCCACTTGTCTAGTTAGCAGTGTGTATTCCAAGCTAATTAATTGTGCCTCCCTTTCCATGGGCAAAATCCTGAATAAAAGGTACATAGACAGTAAACTTTTAAATATAGTTGGCGGAACAGAATAGCTGAGAGGTTCAGGTTTGTCCAGCTACCCGAGTAATGCTTGAACTAACACACTCTTATAATGAAGGGCTTGAGGATAATTAATAGACTAGATAGGTCACAGGCCTATGGGAAAGCCTACTACTACTATATTGCTAAAGGAACATAGCAGCTAAATGACTCCTAATAACATACCACTTTACCCAGAGATGAGTGCCTCACTCAACCCTCATCAGAGAACCTTCTTCATGCAGTAGATGGGAACTAACACAGAGACCCACAACAGGACAATGTGTGAAGACTGAAAGACTTCTGGGCACTCGGTCCTAACTGGGGTGTCTTTATCAAACTGTTGCCTTTAGAATTTGGGGGGCTCTTTAGAAGAGGAAGTGAAAAGGTGATGGATGACTCAGGCAACAGTGTCTTCAAGGGACAACAGGACTGATGCACATAGGAACTCACAGAGACTGTGACAGCACATAAAACACCTGTACAGCTTCAGACTGGAAAAAAAATCTTAGCACTAAAAAGGGGAAACAGACATAAAGTTCCAACCATAACCAAGAAGCTATTTGTAACTGACACACACACAGGGAAAAGGAACATCATTCTTCTTTGTGTTGTGGCACAGGTGTATCAACCATACTCCAGGGCAGACTCCATGCCCAGTAGTGGCTGGCCCACACACAACAGACCCTGTGGCTTGTGTTTTGGTAGGGATCACCTTTTGTTTCATTTTGGTATCTTTTGGTCTTGCTGGGTTTTTATTTGTTTATTTTTATTTTCATTTTGTTTTTGATAAAGAAAGAGAGAGAAGGACATAAAGTTAGGTAGATGGTGAAGTGAGGAGGTCTGGGAGGAGTGTGGGGATGAAGTTAGGTAGATAGGGAAGTGAGGAGGTCTGGGAGGAGTGTGGGCATGAAGTTTGGTAGATGGGGAAGTGAGGAGGTCTGGGAGGAGTGTGGGGATGAAGTTAGGTAGATGGGAAAGTGAGGAGGTCTGGGAGGAGTTTGGGGATGAAGTTAGGTAGATAGGGAAGTGAGGAGGTCTGGGAGGAGTTTAGGGAGGTGAAAAACATGATCAGAATATATGAAAAAAAATTTAATTAGAAAATAGTTCTGAGAACATGTTATATTTAAAGACAATCAGCTCACACAAAGTAATATAATGGTAAAGGTTATTAATAATCATACATTCTGATCTTTTAGAGAATGCCAAAGTTTTGTTTTTCTGTGACTCAAATAATTACTGGCTCTTGAACAACTAACTTTATTACTTTATGCACTGAATTATAACTTATGTCATAAGAAGAACAAATGAGTAGAATAATGTAGATCCAAGTCTGTCTGAAAAGGAGGAACCGGGAAGGTAATATTTTCTGAGCATACGGAGCCAACACTTAAGTGAAACTGGTATTTTGGAGCCAATCAAGGAAGCAGTCAGAAAGGGAGGTTCTTTGAATTCCTCCCTTCGTTCCCGGAGGTGTAAAAGGATGCCATGTGGCTTCTTCAGTGCTGGAGGAGCTCCAGAGAAATATCTCACCAAGCTTTCATGACAGATAGGGGCCAAATGCATCCTGGATGATGTTCTCGTAGTGTGCAAAGGAGGTGTTGAAGAGCCAAGGAAAAGTCATTGTCAGGTTGCTCTGAGCCAGATAAAAAGAAAAAAAAAAAAGCACTACATGAAAAGAAGAAGTCAAACCTTGCTGTAGATGACTTTTAGTATTTCAGAATACTCAACCTGCACTCAGTCTCATTTTGGTTCCTGAGAGAGGTGAGCCTGTGAAATGCTAACCTCACCAGGGCTGTGAGAAACAATATTGGTGGGAAATAGAGTGGAAAGAAGTGTTGAAAAAAAATTCGGGGTTCAACCTAAAGAGCAAAGCCATCTGGCATAGACTCCTGAAGCCACAATGGTTCATTAAAGCACCCAAGGAGGGTGGGGGTAGGAATTGAAATACGTATAAGATGATGATGCTTAGGAAACTCCCCGCTAAGAAAGTGGAGGGCACAGTAAAGTTTTCTGGCATTGACCACCAAATCATTCTTCTACTGCATTCCTTAGACAGCTGTTTAAAATGAGTAAGGAGAAAAATCCTTTAGAAAGAACAAAAGCCTCCAAAGAGCTCCAAGCCCGGAGTGTTAGGATGTTAAAATACAAGGCACATTATCAAGAGATGAAAGTTCAAAGAGGCCTCAGCTTCATGTTGGATAAACAGGACCATATGCCCAGCCTCAGAAATATTTCAAATGTGTTGTGAAACTTCACTCAGTTATGAGAGAAATGTTAGAGTTCAAGTGTGAAAAATTCAATTGCATTTTTGAAAAAAGTAGGTTCCAGGAAAGACCACAAACTTCCTAAGCATGTCAGCACCACTTTCCATGACAGCAGACAGAAATGAAAATGTTACTAAGGCTTAGCAAGGCTTTCTGCACAATGGATCAAGTGAGCCCACATAATATTGAAATGTCACTGTGGGATGTATTCCTGTGAGGGAACAAAGTAAGTCCATATGAAGGATATGAGGATGTTGGAAATACTCCACAGTTACCCAGTGTGAAAAGTTCACACAGTTAAGAGAAAGGTAGGCAGTCATCCCACATACAAATTGACACCAAGGCCCCATTGTGGAAGACAACACCTATACAACTCATTGAACATGAAAAAGTTGAGCTGGTGCCTACATAGAGCCTTCACCCCTAGTATTCTTGGTAGAGGAAACTACTCTGCATGCTACCAAAAGAGAAATGTAAACACCAATCCAGCCAGAAATACTTGCATAGACATGGTGTCCTATCTGTAAGACATGCTATGGAAATGGTGGCACAAAGCTTGTGGGAGTAACTGACCAATAACTGATTTGACTAAAGGCCCACTCCACAAGGTGGAACCCATACTCAACACTGTTTTGGTGATCAAGAACCTGAGACTTGATACCCAAGAGACTTAGAGTAAAACCAAATTATTATTCTTAAAAAAAAAATGTGAATTTCTGCATGCTCATAGATCAGTACTTTGCTCAGCTGTGATCAGAGGAACTTCCTGCAGCAGATGGGAACAAATACAGGGACCCACAGCCAGATGTTATATAGAGTGAGAGACCTTAGAACACTCAGCCCTAAACAGGATGTGTCTTCATCTCCCCTCAGGGCTGAGTAAACCCTACAGAAGAGGAGGTGAGAAAAGCGTAAGAACCAGAGGGGATGGAGGACGCCAAGAAATCAAAGCCCTCTCTCAATCAACGAGATTGATGCACACATGAATTCACAGAAGCTGAGGAAGCATGGCATGCACAGGGTCTGCATGGGTCTTCATCTGATGGGGTCTATGGTCGTTTGAATAAGAATGCCCCCCATAGAGTCATATATTTGAATGCTCGGCCATCTGGAAGTGGTACTACTGAACGGTGATTAGGAAGTGTGGCCTTATTGGAGTGGGTTAGAGGAAGTGTGCCACTGGTGGTGGGATGTGGGGCTTCAAATGCTCAAGCCAGGCCCAGTGTCTCTCTGCCTACTGCCTGCAAATCCAGATGAAGAATTCTAAACTCCTTCTCCAGCACCAAGTCTGCCTGTACACCACCATGCTCCCCGCATGATGATAATGGACTAAACCTCTGAAACCATAAGCAAGCCTCAATTAAATGCTTTCTTCTATCAGAGTTGCCATGATCATGGTGTCTCTTCAAAGCAATAGAAGGCTGACTCTGGGGATATATTGTGTATCAAATAAAGCTTGCCTGAGTGAGGATCAGAGGACAGAGCCAGCCACTAGATTAAACAGAGAAGCCAGGCAGTGGTGGCACACACCTTTAATCCTAGCACTCCGGAGGCAGAGATCCATCTGGATCTCTGTGAGTTCAAAACCTCCCTGAACTACATGAGACTGATTCAGTCTAGGAGAGAAACAGCCAGGCAGTGGTGGCACACACCTTTAATCCCAGTACTTGGCAGTCACACGCTTTTAATCCCTGCACTTGAGATCTCATGCTTTAATATCAGTATTTGGGAAGCACACACACCATTAATCCTAGCACTAGAAAGTAAGTGAAATGGCTGGATGGAAAAAGGCATATAGGGCATGAGGAGACAGGAACTAGAACTTTTTGGCTGAAGACTCAGAAGCTTTCAGTCAGAGGATAAATTATGTGAGAAAAAATTATTTTCAACAAAAGGGAAAAAAGTTAGAGATTTTCTTAGAGAAGGGTTAATTAAAAGGAAGAAGAAAACAACACACAAACATCCAGTTTGCCTACAAAGTCCTATTCCAAAAGAATTTTATGGATTCCTAATTTGTGATTGCCAAAAAGAATGCACATAGCTGATAACCTTTCCCTAATCAAGTTTCTTGGAGTGGCTTATATTTCAGTTTCCTTTGGATGCACATACTTAAGTTAATATTCCATGAATAGTAATGGGGAAGTCAGTAAAATATATTATGAATAAAAAGTTCGTTGAAGGAACACCTATGTAAGTTGGATAGTCCAGTGACATAAAGCCATTCCTCTGCTGGGAGAGGGGGGCGGGTTTCATAGTCTCATGCCAATGACTCACCTTGGGTTCCAATCTGCAATAGGGACATCCCAAAATCTGAGCTTTTTCTTTTAGAGCTCTTAATTCACAAACTATCTACACAGAAACAGAGCAGTGCCGATAATTGCTACCCAGGTCCTGTCCCTCTCCTCTCCCTGAAGCTAAAGTGGTATTATGCTAATCTAGAAGAGAAATCCATGTTGCTCTGCCACTGGGCCAAATGTTTGACCTTCCAAAATTAACATCTGCATCTTGTTGTGAAAAAAAAAAAGTTGAGAGAAGAGAACACAGTCTAGGAGGGAAGCAAGGTTGAGGGGAGCACTTTATAGTAAGGTACTCTTCTGGAAACCAGATTGCTCACTCTGCATCGTCTCCCAGCTATACTCACCTGTGAACTCTGGTCCTCCATAAGCATTTTGTAGTAAACCCATGAAAATATACTAAACATGCAACACACAAATGCACAGTCTTCCATCATCTATGTACTACTCATTTTCCAGAATCGACAGATGATGCCAGTTTGTCACTTTGGCTCAGAAAATAGAATACAGATGAACTTACAATGATGCATACCTCTCCTTCCCACCAATTTCTCTCTCTCACTTACTCTTCTATGTAGAAGAGTATGTACATTTCTTTGGGTGCTATTCCTGACTGCATTCATTTGCCCATATGCTTCAACACTGTTTAGGTTGTCCTAAATTATACATATGGAACTACTTTGTTCACTTTAGCAGCTGCTTAGATGACATTCACTCTGCAACTGGTGAGTCTGTTTCTAGAATCTCCTATTAGACTTTTTTTATACCATTTTATGCAATGTGTATGGATATCCTCCCACTTCCTTCTGCACACTTGCAGGAAATCTACATGGTGCCTCTTCCCTCCAGGAGGCATTGCTGGATGTAGTGTGTACACGTTCATCTTTGCCATATACTGCAACAAACACTACATGGTAGACCTTCTATCATCCTGATGGCTATGTAATGCAATCTCCCACCTATGTGAGCTTCCTTAAGGATAACCAAGCTTGAGTATCTTTTCATGATTGGCTTCCTATTTTGTAAATTGTCCTTTTATGTGTCTTCTCCAGTGTTCTTTTAGATGTTTGCCTTTGTCACACTCATTTGTAGTTCTTTATATATTCTAAACACTATTATTTGTCTCATATGTGTTTATAAATGTTACCTGCATAAGATCTGTTCTGATTTTGTTGAGATGTATCTGACATTTTAAATACTTAGTTTCTTTTGCTTTGTTTGAAATACACTACAATAAACATATATGCAAATATATTAAATGTAAATTAGCATACACACAAATATTGTCCGTGTTTGTCACTTCCTGTGATAGTCTACAGTAGTTTAAGTTCTAACCATGCATACTTCTTCTGTTTTCAAATCTATGTTATAAAGCTGGGCTGCTGTGTTGCCTACCAATTTCCTCTTATTGCAAATTCAGTGCCTATGACTTTAGCAAGGTGGAAGGACTAGGTATCAGAAACACTAAGATCAAATCTCATGCCTGCCACGTGCTCCCATAGACCATAGCTTCTCCATGCTTTATGTCTCTCATCTAAAGCATGAGCTTTACCCACATTGATTCCCCCATTCATCCTAGCCTTTACTTCTTTATCTGATAACCCACAAAGGCAAATGACAGAAATACTAGTTTTAGCTTGGTGTTCTTCATTTTAAAGACCGGGAACCTGGGCAGCTGAGAGTTTAACTAACTTAATTGAAGATACATAGGTGCCACAGTTACCGTATAGTAGATCTGATACCCAGACTTGCACATCAGGCTTTCCAGCCCATCACAACACTGCCTCCTGGGATTTTGTCTTTGCAAGTGAAAGGAGTGTGAGCCTGCGGTCTATGGCCTGATGCACACACATTTTATAAAAATGTTGTTTATTTTTATTTCCTATAAAGGGTATTCTCAATTTTTCTACTTCATTCCAAATTTGAATGAACTTACATTAGAGGGCTCTAGCACACTTCTACAGCATACACATAATCTAGAAATCGGGTTAAATCACAATGTGACAAGACTCTCTTCAAGTTTGTCTTCTATTTATTTTTTCTTGGGTGGGAGGTGATATTTATTTGAAAACAGG